AATCCCCACTCCTATTCAATATAGTACTGGAATTCCTAACCAGAACAATTGGGCAAGAAGAAGAAATAAAAGGAATACAAATGGGTAAAGAAGCTTTCAAATTATCCCCATTTTAGTCAACATGATCTTATACCTTAAGGACCCAAAAAACTCTACCCAAAAACTCCTAGACACCATAAACATCTACAGCAAGGTGACAGGACACAAAATCAACATACAAAAATCATTAGCTATTCTATACACCAATAACAAACAAACTGAGAAAGTATATATGGAAACAATTCCATTTACAATAGCTTCAAAAAAAAAATCAAATGCCTAGGAATAAATATAACAAAGGATTTATATCTCCTCCACAAGGAGAACTACAAACCCCTGAGGAAAGAGATCAAGGAAAACTACAGAAGTTGGAAAGATCTCCTGTGCTCATGGATTGGTAGAATCAACATAGTAAAAACAGTTATAGGACCAAAAATAATCTACATGTTTAATGCAATTCCCATCAAAATCCCAATGACATTCAGCACAGACACTGAAAAATCTACCCTAAAGTTCAAAACAAAAGAGACTACAAATTAGCTAAGGCAATACTCAGCAAAAAAGAGCAATGCTGGAGATATCACAATACCCAACTTCAAACTATATTACAAAGCAATAGCAATAAAAACAGCATGGTACTGGCACAAAAACAGACCCAAAGAGCACTGGAACAAAATACAGGACCCGGATATGAATCCACACAGTTATGCCCACCTTATTTTTGACAAAGACGCCAAAAACAGACGATGGAGAAAAGACAGCCTCTTCAATAAATGTTGCTGGTAAAAGTGGTTATCCGCCTGCAAAAAACTGAAACTAGATCCATGTTTATCACCCTATTCTAGTATCAACTCAAAATGGATCAAGGACCTTAATATCAGACCCAAAACTCTGAAGTTAGAAAAAGCAGGAAATACTCTGGAAGTAATAGATATAGGCAAGGACTTTCACAGTAGAACCTCAGCAGCTCAGCAACTAAAAGAAAGGATGTACAAATGGGACTTCATAAAATTAAAAAGGTTCTGCACAACAAAAGAAATGATCTCTTAACTGAAGAGACCACCCATAGAGTGGGAGAAAATATTTGCCAGCTATATATCAGACAAAGGATTGATAACAAGAATATACAGGGAACTTAAAAAACTAAACTCTCCCAACATCAATGAACCAATAAAGAAATGGGCAACTGAACTAAACAGAACTTCTCAAAAGAAGAAACTCAAATGGCCAAAAATCACATGAAAAAATGCTCAGCATCTCTAGCCATAAAGGAATGCAAATCAAAACTACACTAAGATTCCACCTCACCCCTGTTAGAATAGCCATCAAACAAAACACCACCAACAACAGGTTTTGGCGAGGATGTGGGGAAAAAGGAACCCTCATACACTGCTGGTGGGAATGCAAGCTAGTGAAACTACTCTACAAAAAAATACGGAGGATTCTTACAAATCTAAAGATAGATCTGCCATATGATCCAGCAATCCCACTTCTCGGGATATACCCAAAGGAATGTGACACAGGTTACTCCATGGACACCTGCACACCCATGTTTATTGCAGTGCTATTCACAATAGCTAAGTTATGGAAACAACCAAGATGCCCCACTACGGATGAATGGATTTTAAAAATGTGGTCCTTGTACACAGTGGAGTTTTACTCAGCCCTGAAGAAGAATGAAATCTTATCACTCTCAAGTAAACTGCAGAACATCATTCTGAACGAGGTTAGCCAGGCTCAGAAGACCAAAAATCACATGTTCCCCCTCGTATACGGACTTTAGATCTAGGATAAATACAGCAATGTTGTTGGACTTGGGTCACACAATAAGGGGAGAGTACATACGGCAGGTATGGGGATAGGTAGGAAACCCAAAACATGAAAGTGTTTGATGTTACCACTGCAGAGGAGCTAATACAGAAACCTTAAAGCCACAGAGGCCAATATGGGAAGGGGACCAGCAACTAGTGAAAAGGCCAGGTAGAGTTGAATCAATTTGGGTTGTAACACACTTGTGCATAGAAGCAATGCTAGGAATCTCTCTGTATAGCTATCCGTATCTCAACTAGCAAAAATGCTTTGTCTTTCTTATTATCGCTAATGTCTTCTCTTCAACAAAATTGGAGAAAAGGACAGAACAGGTTCTTCCTGAAGCAAGAGGGAGTCAGGGGGAGAGGGTGGGGGTGGGTGGCAGGGGGTTGAAATAGTCCACAATGTATGCACATGTGAATAAAAAATAAATTTTTAAAAGGTGAAAAAAGAATTTGACAGGAGATCATGGGAATTATAGTTCAAGGCCCACCTAGACAAAAAGTTTGTGAGACTCCATCTCAACCAATGACTAGGCATGATGGCAACATTTATCATCCCAGCTTTGTAAGGAAGTGCTAATAGGAAGATCTCAGTGTGGCCATTAGTGCATAATATGAGACCCTATCTCAAAAAGAACTAATTAAAAAGGGGTTGGTAGAGTAGATCAAGTGGTAGAATGCATTCCCAGCAGGCAAGACATCCTCAGTTCAAACCTCAGTATTGCCCCACCCCCTAAAAACTATTCCGACACTAAACACTCAATTTGTCTTAAAATTAAGTTTATGCAGATATAGAATGAAAAATAGCTTTTGAAATAATTATAAAGACTATACCAAGTATATTATGTATCATTGATACTGATAATCATAATTTCTATTATCACATGTATGTATCCAAATCTAACTTATAAAAAAAAAAGAGGGTATAATTTTTTACATTCATACTGTGCCTTAAGTTTTTTCCTCTACCAAAGGTAGAACCACATCAGAAATAAAATAAAGACAATATAGCAATTAGTTGTATGGCATTTTGTATTCAAACTTCTTCACTTGCTGATATTGTATTCTCAAATGTTTTATAAGTTTCACATATCTAAATCAGTATCTAACATTGTCATATAATCCACAAAGTATGCTTTTAATTAACATTTATTGATCAACTGAAAGGAATTCTATACCAAAATCAATTTTTATGGTTTGAATATGAAAAATGTCCCCCCAAGGCTCATGTGTTAAACATGTGCTTGCCAGCTGATGGGATCTTTTGGGAAGTGATTGGATCCTGAGGGCTCTTTCTCATCAATGGATTAATCCATTGATGGATTTATAATATGATGGAATTACTGGGAGGTGGTGGAAACAATGAGGTAGGATCTACTTGGAGAAAGCAGGTCACTGGGGAGGGTCCTGCAGAATATACCTGTTCCTGGTCCCTGGTTTTCTTTCTTTGCTTCCTGGCCACCAGGAGATAGGCAGCTTTGCTATACCACATGCTCTCCACAATGATTTTCAGTCTTTTCTTAAGCACAGATTGACTGGGCTGGGCAAGAATGGACTGAAACCATGACCAAAATAAATCTTTCCTGCTTTAAGGTGCTTGGTCAGGTATTCTGTAACAGTGACAAAAGGCAGACTAACACACAGGGCTGTATTATGCATCAATAATTTGTATGTTTCTACATGCCTACGTATGTAAAGTTCCTACAAAAGTTATCCAAGGTTTAAAAGAATAAGCAAAAGACTCTCAAGTCTCTACCTTATATTCATCCACAATAATGCTGAGGGCTTCATGACCAGCTTTCCTCATGTCTTCCAATTCTTGCTTATGTTTTTCCTGAAAGAAAAAGAAACTAAATACACAATTTGTTCTTCTGTTTTGTGTTTTAAAATAATAAACCCCTTGACTTTTGCTTCCCTGAATGGAAATAGAAAATTTTTTTTTAAAGTTCTGGAATTACAGCTAAGATATTGAGATGGTGTTCACGGAAGCACAGTTCACAGCTTCTAACATGCGAAAGGACTGCCATACAGTTAACCCTTATGACATGGGAAAGGAACATACAGCTGACCCTTACAACAGCTTCCTCCTAAGTGCAGAAGGAAGCTACACTAGCATCTTGAGCAAGGTAGTTCATGTTTGTTTACTGAGCCCACACCACCAGTGTAGTGACAGAAAATACATCACAACCCTGCTACTACACAGCCTTAAATAATCTATGACAATCAATTCCCAATTAAAAGGCATAGAGGATATTAAAACCCCCAACTAAAAACTCTACTCCAGATGCATAAATCCCAGCATTAAAAAAATTCCATGAAAAAAAATATGTCCCCTCCAAAAAATCAACTCCACAAATAAAAGAATTAAGTACTAGTGAAGAAGAACAAATCTCAAGCAATGTATTCAAAGAAACAATGACATGAATAATCAATGAAATTAAAGAGAAGAAATATAAGCAACTGAATGAATTCAAAGAGGATACAAAGTGAACAACTAACTGAATTCAAAGAGAATTCAAACAGCTGATTGAAATAAAGAAGACAATGCAGATTATGAAAGAAAAATTCAATAAAGATACAGAAATCCTGAAAAAGCATCAAGTTGAAATCTGGGAAATAAAAAGCTCAATATTCCAAGTAAAAACTTCAATTAAAAGTTTTGCTAACAGAGTAGAGAAGGTTGAAAATAAAGTTTCAGGAATTAAAGATAAAGAAGAGGAACTAGATCAATAAATCAAAGATAATAAAAAAATACTAATAAAACATGAATGGACCATGCAAGACCTCTGAGAACCCATAAAAAGACAAAAACTATTACTCATAAGTATAGAAGAAGAGATACAAACTAAATGCATGGATAACGTGCTCAGTAGCATAATAGCCAAGAACTTCCCCAGTCTTAAGAAAGGGAGAGAAATCCAAGACAGGAGGCTTTCAGACAACCAAACATGCAGAATCAGGACAGAAACATTCCCAGATATAATCAGAACACTAAATATGAAGAACATATTCATTCATATGAATGAATACAGAATGCAGGGAAAGAGAAGCCCCAAGTCACATATAAAGGCAAATTCTTCATAATAGCAGAAGATTTCTCAACACAAACTGTGAATTGATCAAGGATAACATATTTCAATCCCTGAAAAAAAAATTATCAATCTAGACTTGTCTATTTATCAAAACTATCATGATTGAGGATGAAATGAAGACCTTCCACAATAAACAAAAACTAAAGGAATTCATAACCACTAAATAAACACTGCCCTCCCCCAAAAAATACTTAAATGAATCTGATACACAGATGAAGAAGACAGCAGTCGGGAAAATGCAAGAAAGAATAAACCCCACTAGACCAGTAGATTAGCAACAAAGAAGAGGGAAAACATAAGCCCAAGAAACACAAATAAAGGACTGAAAATACTACATCACTTTCAATGTTAATAATAAATGTTAATGACCTCAATTCACCAATCAAAAGATATAGAATAGTGGGCTGAATTAAAATGCAAGACCCAACTTCTTATTGCTTACAAAAACACACATCTCACTGACAGAAACATTAGCTTAGAGTGAAAGGGTGGAAAAAATATCTCCAAACAAATGGACCCTAAAAACAGACATGAGTAGCTATACTTGTATGCAATAAAGCAGACTTCCAACCAAATCAGAAAAGACAATGCAAGTCATTTCATACTAATAAAGGGAACAATCCATCAGGAGTCAAAATAAGTCTTAGCACCAATGTGCTAAACATTAGTGGATCAAATTATATTTTTAAAAAACACTACTATACTTAAAAACACATACAGAGACCAACACAGTAATAGTGGGAAACTTCAACACTCTACTTTCACCAGCAGATAGGTCATCCAGACCAAAACTTCACAACAACATTGATTGACACGATAGACCAAATGCACTTAACACACATCTATGGAGTATGCCATCCAGCTACTGTAAATACACATTCTTCTCAGCAACGTATGGGACTCTCTCCAAAATATATCATATTTTAGGATATTAAGAAAACCTTAGCAAATGTAATAAAGTGTAAATAATCCCATATAAGGTATTATATCCAAACATAATGGAATAAAACTAACTAGAAACTACACTTACCAGAATCTTTGAGATACAGACACAAAGACCAATGGAACAGAAGACCCAGAAATAAATCAACGCAGTTACACCTACTTGATTTTTGACAAAGGAGCCCAAAAAAATACTTTGAAGAAAAGAAATCCTCTTCAACAAATGGTGCTGGGAAAATTGGACATCCACATGTAGAAAAGTGAAAATAGATCCCTTTCACTCTGCATTAATATCAATTGAAAATAGACCAAAGATCTCAATATAAGACCTAAAATTTGAAACTACTACTAACAGCACTGAAAGAATAGGAAAAACACTGGAACATATAGGCAGTGTAGCAATAACTTCCTGAATAGAATGCCAACAATTCAGCAAATAAGAGAAAGGATTAACAAATGTGTCTGCATCAAACTTAGAAATTTCTACATAGGAAAAACAGTTCCTAGACTGAAGACACAGCCTACACAATTGGAGAATATATTTACCAGTTGTACATCTGACAAGGGATTAACAACAAGAATATAGAAGGAATTCAAAAAACGAGCTCCACAAAGAATCCATAACCCACTGAATAAATGGGCAAATAAACTGAACAGAGTTGTCTCAAAAGAAAAAGTACAAATGGCCAACAAATACATGAAGAAATGCTCAACATCCCCGGCCACAAGGACAGAACAGATCCTTTTTGTGGGGTTGGTACCAATGAGATGACAGACTATGTGGGGAAAGAGTGTAGGAGGTTGAATATGGTGCAAATATTGTGCACACATGCATGTAAATGGAAAAAAATGAGATCTGTTGAAACTACTTCAGGAATGGGAGAGAGGAGAAGGAGAATGGTGAAGCAGGTGAATTCAACTATAATACATTGTTAAGAACTTTTGTAAATGTCACAATGTGCCCCAGCACAACAATAAAAAATCAAACAATAAAATAAATTTTAAAATATGTATGTATAAGTCATCTAAATATCTAACTCCTTAAACATTAAGGGACATGAAAGGTACACACAATATCATATTGAATACCTGGCAAGATAACTGCACTGAATTTAACCATTAGATTCAATGTCCTATTCCCACTATAACCCAGATGTATGCATGTACATACGTGTCAGCAAATGTTCATGATCAGAGAGACTATTATGTAGATTGCATCACATTACACATTTACTTTTCAAATGGACCATGTGCACAGGAGGAATGCTAACATCAGTGGATAAAATATAAACATAATAACACAAAAAAGGAAATGGAAATCAAAATGACATTCAGATTTCACCTCTCTCTAGTTAGAATGATTATCATCAAGAAATACAAACAATTAGTGGTGGGAGGCCCATGGGAGAGAGTAGGGTCCGGGGTGGGGGTGAACATGAGTGAAGTACACTTTATATATATTTTATATATATATGCATGAAAGTAGCATAGTGAAACCCACAAAATGCTGTTTAAAAAGGAGGGAATGTCAGAGGGACACTATGGAGAGCAGTATGGAGGTTCCTTAAAAAACTAAAACAGAACTACATCATCATCCAATGATACCACTCCTAGACATATATCTAAATGAATCTAAGTCAGGATACAATAAAGACACTTATACACCAAGCTTATGGTAGCACTACAATAGCCAAGCTATGGAATCACCCCAGATTACCATAGAATTAATTAATGGATTAAGAAAATGTGATATATATACATAAGGAAAACAGAATAAAATTATGCCATTTACAGATAAATGGACTGAACTGGAGATCATCAATGTTAAGGGAAGTAAACAAAGTTCAGAAAGAAAAAAAGTAGCATATTTTTTCTTATATGTGGACCCTGTAATTAAAAGATATACACATAATACATACAGGATCACATACACATATATATTTATAGAATATGTTTATAATCATGGGACTATTTGAGGGGATCAGCAGGAAGGGGGAGAGAAAGAATGACAAAGAATGAATAATATTGCATCTATGTATGAAGAAGGCATAACAAACGTACTGAAAGCTGTTGAATAGAAAGGTAGGGGGATAGGGAAACAGACAGTAATAGTGGGGGTTAATATGATTAAAGTACAATATACTCATGTGAAAGTACCAAAACAAAACCCCTTTGAACAATGAATATACACTTTAAAAAAGAAGGGCACGAATATAAAACAGGTCCTGTTTAGGGTTAGGTACTAGTGGGAGGTTGAAAGAAGAGGGTAAAGGAGGATGAATATGGCCAATGTATTTAATATGCTTGTATGAAAATAAAGCAATGAAACCTGTTGAAATTCTTTTAAGAAGGGGGCAAGGAAGATGAGAGAGAAGGGCTGAATATAACCAACGTACATTGTAAGCACATATAGAGATGTCAAAATCCCTCAGTACAACTAATATATGCTAATATTTTTTAAAGTTCTGTTTAAAGCATTGGAAAGAATTTAGGTTATGAAGTGTTAAAGGGAAACAATTACTGAGAGACTACAACCATGCTAAGAGGTGCAAAAACCCATGGGATATTTGGCAAGTCTTAACACAGACCAACATGGAGGCTTGTATTACAGCAACAAGTCCAGGCATTTCTATTTTGTATTTTTTCTCCAGGTGTTTCTAACATCCCAAAGTTTGAGAATCACTACACTAAAGTGACTAGACCCAAGTCTACCTGCCTTGGAATGGAAAGGATGAACTCTCTCTGGAGGATGTTAACATCCTACTGATCCTGTCCAGCTTCTCAAATATAA